GGGGGGGGGGGGGGGGGGGGTTGTCGTGGGGGGTTTCAAGTGTTCTATGGGGCTCTTTAATTAGGGCTCTAAAGGGTTCTGCAGGATTTCGGGTTTCCGGCCTGAGGCCCTTCGACCACAGCTTCGTGAGGGAGCTCATCGAACTTGCGCAGGATAGCGAGGACAACGAGTTGGTGGTACCTCCGAGGATGGAGGCTTTATGGGAGAATCACCAGTCGAAGCTCGTCCGTGAGGGTGTGACCTTTGAAACTCACCCTCAAGAGGCAGCCGACGAGCTCAATCGGCTCGTGGAGGAGCTGAAAGAGAAGAGCGCGAAGGATTATCATCCGGGAACCGACGAGATCGTACGTGATCTGGTTCATCCTTCGCTTTACCCCTTTGTGGAGGGGATTTCCCAGACCGCAGGGACTGACGACGTTACGCCGGCAGTGCAGGGTTTGCAGAAAGACATGTGGAGAAGGCCCTACGAGACGAGCAAGTACCAGTGGTTGCCGTCGGAGGTCTCGGTAGCAGCAGATGGTACTTGCAAGTTCCAGACATATATCAACAACCTCGACCAGGAGAAGCGCTTGGGACGGCATTTGCAGCTTCTCCTTCAAAAACCTGCCTAGGTCCCTCATTTCCAATCGTGCCACATATGCCGAGGCATGGTGACTTATGCGGTGCATTGGAGCGTCTGCTGACCCGGTGTCTGCCCCATCTCGAAGCTGCTTGGAGCCATGGACAGCAAGTAAAAGGTTTCAATGTTGAGGATGAGGACATGGACGATCTCGACTCTGACTGCAGTGACCCACCTTACTGTTAGCACAGGTCTTTCTGACCGTTTTCGTCCGCACCATAAGAGCCGGCTGCTTGAAAGCATGCGAGGTGCAGGTGAGCCGGAGAACATAGAAATCGAGTCTCTTCGTGGACGGTCTATTCAAGTCATTACCAAAATTGTGGATTATGAGCTGCCTCCGGGTGGGACCCACGAAGGCGTCTGGCATGTGGAGGGGATGAGCCACGAGAACATCGTCGCGACAGCAGAGCTCATCTTGAAGAAGGATGCCGCACTCGTCGGTGGTGGCTTGCAGTTCCAGCGAACCTTCCGAGAAACGGAAGGGCGCCCAATGATTATGGGATTTCCCCAGTGTCGGGCAGCACAGCTGGATGAGGTAGTGGAGGCCGGCCTGGTCCCCCTGGGCCAGTTGCCCCTCCCACATCGGCGCCTGGCGGCTTGGCCAAACAGCCACATCCACAAGGTGGAGAAGATCTCGAACACATCGGAAAGCCCGGCGGTGCGGCGCATTGTGGTGCTGCTCGGATGCAATGGGCCTTACAGGTCGTCATAATAATCAGCATCTGTCGGAACATGCAACTCTGTTGTCAAGATTCCGAGGTTTTGGTTAGTGAACCCAGGGGTCAGGATCATTTCCACCCAGCACGTGCCAAAGCAGCAGGGTGTGATGCCATTGGAGGAGGCTCAAAATCACCGACTGTCGCTCATGGAGGAGCGAAAGTTACACAAGCAGAATTGGAATCTCAGAGAGGTCAGCCTTTGTGAGCACTGATGGCTGCAGCCCTACCATTTGGGCAGTTCTCGTTCAGAAAGAGAGCGGGCACAAAAATGCGGGGTTCTTTATCATTAGTTGTACTGGTAGCAGTTGTGCCGCGAAGCAGGAGCAAAATTCCAACCACCCTGCCCGGAAGATGTTCTGAGATTCTGAGGAGTTTCTGCGCATGTCCTGAACTACACGCGGATGGGTTGAAGCGTCGTAGACATATCTCCTGTATGGCATTTTACGAACCTTAACCCGACATGCTTCCACGTTGCTACCGCCAGCTGTTTGCTAGCCTCGGCTTGCCTGGAGGGTTGCCGGTGTTCTTGCACATCATATCCGATGCCATATGTAATACAGAATACTCATGAATCTGCAATATGTATGTATAAGTAATCATAAGTACAGATATATTACAGAATGCGACGTGTATATAACATTATGTTATACTGTATCTTACTATGTTGTATCACAGTTAAATCATATCATAATTATGTCATATTACATTGTGTTATATTGTATTGTACGATGTTCTAGTATTAGTAATATATTGTACTATACTGTAGTTTACATGATATACTGTCAATTATCTGTTATATGTTATCTAATATACATCATATTTTGCGTGTCATTTGCTTCTTTTTATAGGTTGTGTTTTTACAGTACGTATTGTATGTTTCATATTGCACATAATAAGTTACATTACATTGTATTTTATGCTTCTGTCATACTAGATTATAGCATATTAGATTATGCCACGTTGTTTCATATTAAACGATATCAAGATACGTATCGTATTATGCATTATATACTGCATTTCATGTACTAGATTTTAGAATTTAGATACATAGTAAATAGTGTGTATATATATATATCCAGAATTTAGATATATAGTAAATAGTGTGTGTATATATATATATATATCCAGAACAAATAAATCAAAACGTAGAACACTTAAGATATAATATAGAAAAATATACAATGCATAAAATATACTATATTATATACATACAACACATTATGGAATATACTGTACAGTGTATAAAATCTATCAGATATTTTGTACTGCCGATTTTCTTCAGGATCGTCCATGCTGGACCTGAACGTCCGGGCTGTAGCAAGAATGCCCATTACACCTGCTAGCAAGAACGACAACCTAAAACCCTAAACCGTAAGCCAGCTGGATCTATAAGTCAAACGTTTTAAGCGGGGGTAGTCCATTGCCTTTGAGCTCATGAGTTTCAGGGTATTCGACGAGTTTGGTCTGGTTTTCTTGCGTGGGTTTCCTGTCGGGCACCAGGGTCTAGTCTGCATATAGTATGGCATAGCCACTCTATCCAGGCACTGTGAGGGGCAAGCCTCTTAGAACAACCACCCCAACAGGCACCAGATGGGAAAACCAGACTTTTGGATTGTTTCATGTCGAGCCGTTTCCCCAGACCTAAAAGCCCCGAGTAGGCAAGCCCAGATGCAGCCCAACAAGCCCCTACATAAGAACACCAGACTTGAGAATTGTCTTAGGCCGGTTTCATTCTACAGGTTGTAGCTATCAAGAGAACAGAGTAGAAGGTCAAGGCGAGGGTGGAGCAGTGGAAGGGGTATGTTCGTTCAGTTCAGTGCGCTCTCGCACCTGTGCAGCCCCTCTTTGAAGCGCCGTAAACCCCAAGGCTTGCATGCAGATCCCGTTTATGTTTGCGAAGCGCAGCAATTCACAGAGCAGAAGGTTGAGTCAACGAGCTAACAAAGGCCCTCCACGTCCTAACGGTCTAGCCTGGCAAGAATGCCTGCGTGCTTAGCTCCAGCTTGATAAGCTGTTTCAGCCAGCTTTCCACCTTCCAGAAGACGAGCCGATCTTGGTTTGCCTGAAGCAGCGAATCCAAATTTCAGTTCACGAAGCTCAGATTCTCTTCTAGTGGTCTACTGAAGGTTCATAGCCCGGACAGCTGAGGCACTGAGTCTACCGAGACAGGACACTATCGCAGTGGCCGCTGCCATCTCTGCTTGCGAGAAGGGACAGAAGAGGCGCGTGGGGTTGAAGACAACGCCTGGGGCCTGGGGGTCCTCGTCCTTACATATATTCGAACTACTAGAATCTACCGCAAGAGCACGCCCAGTTCTTTAAGCCCTTGCATTAGCCAGCTTGAACGTATGTTGGGCGACTCGAGCGGCCGTCGCAAGGTACAAGACAGAAACACAAGAATCAACCCGTAGACAGCAGATTAACCCAAGGCCAAGGAGCACACGATTGGTAGAATGCTAAGAAGGACTGAAATATGAACCTTGAGCGCTCAGCTCATCATGCATGTCTCATGCCGCCTCTCAGTTGAGCTTGCATCGGTTGCTGCTTTGGGAAGTTCGAGGTCCCCAAAATGTGCACGCGACTGGAGGGTACAGGGGCATACTATAGTGTACCATAGTAAGCCATAGCATACGATAACAGTATACCATAGCCATAGACCATAATACAATACATCAGGGTTTGGCGACCAGAGACTGTGGAGGCACGACATTCTCCCAAAACATGAGCCGAACACAATTAGGCCTTGTTGCACACCACCTGGAGGGCTGGACGGGCCACATCTAGATGCGATCGGCATACCCTGCTAGAACCCCGGCATGAAGGCACGCTGTTGTTCCAAATGCTGAACCCCTGAACTCCCATGTGCTAAAGCGCATTCGATTCCTATACACTTGCCCCAAACTCCTAAAGCCTTGAATATACACTTGTTGTTACGATTTTTGGTTCTTCCCATGAGTACTATCAACTGGATTCTTACTTGACATGCAGGAGGTCCGATACTGCTTGGCGGAGTGCTTCTGCGCTGCTAGCTGAGCTCGCGCCGAAGAGGCTCCGGAGAGATGTAGCTCGGAAGAAACAGAGTACTGTGTTTGGGCTTTAGGGCCTTAGACGACAATTGGGATTCTCGTGAAATAATCGTATCACTCCCCCTTTTAGTTGCGATCAAATGATAGTATCAGTAGTACTGATATTCGTGCTCGCTTCTGCTGGCGTCATAGCTAGAACCCGATCCACCTCGCACGACAGAAACTCCTTACTGCAACATGATTAGACTACTGTCGGCCCAAAAAAGTGTGGGTGAGCCGAGGCCGATGTTGCGCGGGAAATCATCAGTATGAAGACCGGAATGCACATTGCGCACTACTGTGCATGTCTATATATATATATATACATATGCGTATGCACGTGGAAATGTTTATGTTCATGCACTCATACATACATATGTACCTATATACATATGTTTATGTCAATTTGTGACTACTTGCCTGCCTGTCTTCCTGCCTGCATGGATGCATGCATGCCTGCATATGCATGCGCCTATGCACGGACGTACATGCCCACCCACCGCACTCCACACACGCACACGCACGCACTGAACCTTCCAATCGCATACATGCCGCGTACTCCGAGCATCGCCATCGTGATCGCTCGTTTCTCCCTGTCATCTGCATCATAATAGTCAAATTTCGAAATATATCATTGTAGGCTAGCTCGAAGGGTATAACTCAAGCTTTGTGTCGAGAACTAGGTACATGCAAACAGGTATAGACAAACATGTCATGGGCCTATGCATCATCAGGCTTGTTTGCTGAGTTGTCATAATGTACCACTGGGATTCACTCTTCCGGAGCTTGCTTGAGGACGTCATCTACGAAATTCTTGTCAGACGCGCTGTGACCGGTCTTCATCGTTTGGCCCAACCCTGTCGTGAAGCCCAGGCCATCTGCAGCAACGCCATACTGAGCGCATTCGAGATCCTTGGCTGCAGACGAGGATTGATGCTTTTCGCATCTAGAATCGGAAGCACCCGTAAACCCTATGTGCAGGTTTGTAGACTTGCAGCAGCAGCCATTCAGCAGTACATCATTGTACATGGTGAAGAAGAAATTGCAGTAGTAGTGGTCAGTGGCAGTAGCAGCAGCAGAAGGAGTTTGAGTCCTAGTAGTAGTAGTAGTAGTAGTAGTAGTCGTCGTCGTCGTCGTCGTCGTCGTCGTAGCAGTACCAGCAACAGCAGCAGGAGTAGTAGTAGTAGTAGTAGTAGTAGTAGCAGCAGATGATGAGGAGGAGGATGACGATGTTGCTTCTGCCGGATGGTGACGATGGCAACGGTGGTATTGAAAAAGATGGGTACAGATCAACACATATCTACATCTATATCTATACCTATTCTATATCTATAGTGCAGATGGTTCTTATGATGCCGATGCTGTTGATGAGACTGATGCTGTGGCAGAGATAGCGATGTCGCAGACAGTGATGGTCATCGGCCTGGTGATGTCAATGGCGTTAGAGCAACCGTCGTTGGAGGTGCTGTTGGCGGTGAAGCTATGTTTTGTGTTTGCCACATTGACATGCTTTGGCGATCGCTGGTGGTAGTGTGATCGCGAGCCTCCCGGTGTTAAGTGTCTATCGTCTGTGTTGGGACTCCTCAACATATGTAACCAAACTTTAACACATTCTAGCAACATGCAACTATTAGGTAACCCAAACCCCGTGGCAATTCTGAAGGCCCCTACATATTCGCCCAGGAAGGCGCAGAAGTGGATTCTAGCCCTGGCTCTCCTCCACACCCGGAGGGCGCCAGGTGACATTGGGCTCATCGGCTGCTTGCCTGGATTGGCACAGGGTTTAGGCCCCACTGCAGGGCTCTAGGGGCTTTGGGCCATGGGAGGTTGGGGGCTACCAGGAGACGGTGGGGCCGCCTGGTGAGGCTTCTCCACTAGAGCCTACACTCCTGATCCTAAAATGCCGAAACCCACTCGAGGCTTCTCCAGCGCTCTGGCGGCCTGTGCCTCCGCGGATCAACGCGAAGCCGCCTGCCGTCTGCGGCAGGTGATGACGGAGGAGGCCCCTTTGAATAGGGTCTTCATTGAGGGTTTCGTAGGTTCTGGGTATTGATGTGATAGTTAGGCTATAGAGGGTCGCTGATTGTTTGAGGTATGCTTGAAGGCTTAGGGCTCCCTTAAAGCTCTTTGTTCCTCCAATCCCGGTT